ACGAAAAACAAGAACTGGTTTAACATAATCTGATGGTTTTCAAGTTTTACTTTGTGTCTTCTAGCTTTTATTTATCTATTTGGTTCTGTACTCTTTATGAAAATTTACAGCCTTCTCACAGTGATACCTGAGGTAAAGAAATGAATACAGATGTCTTATGAGCTAGTGCAGATGGACTGATAGAAAAAATTTGAAAAAACTATTGCAACACAAGAATCAAGGAGAGCTCCAAGGCAAACACTGATTCAAAGTGTCAAGGTCACAAGGCCCAGGAAAACCAGCAGCACAGATTTGAACTGAAAACTGCTAACAGCTTTAAGGGAGGGTAATTAGTAAGGGAAGAGAGCACTGCAACTGGGACTTTGCAATTTACTCTTAAAACTTAGAATTGGGGCTGCAGAGATGGCTCAGCGGTTAGGAACACTGACTGTCCTTGCAGAAGACCCGGGTTTGACTCTCAGCACCCACATGGCAGCTAACAACTGTCCGTAACTCCAGTTCCAGGGGACCCGACAGACTCTTCTGTCCTCCGGGGGCTTGGCATGACACAGGTGCACTTACCTACATGCAGGCAATACACGCATACACATAAAATAAAAATAATAAAAATTTTAAAAAAACCTTAGAATTTACCGCTTCCCGTAAATGCTCACAAAGTTCCTTCCTAAACAACACACAACTAAACTATTAAAAACAACTGACATGCAAATACTGACAAAAAGAGAGGTAAACAAATAATTTGCCTCAAGAAAGTGTGTGAATATCCCACTCACAATAATCCTTGTTCTTCACTTTGCACGGAGTTGTGATCCACACCATGTAATATTTCATTTTACATCTCAGCACTCCTACATTGACATCACTCTGCCCATTTTATACAAGAAGACTCGGGCTAAGACAGGTTGAGTGACTCGCCCAGGGTCACACAGATACCAAGAGTCCATATTCTACCGCAGGCCACCTGATCTGAAATGGCATCATTACTATGCTACACTGCATGTCAGAGAGACCGAGTAAGCATTACCTCACATTCTTGTGATGAAGACACTACAGGCAAGAGTTCAGGGTCTTCTTCCCAGATGCTCGCTTGCTTCAGAAGTTCCGCAGATTACCCAGTGTGGACTGAGCTGGTAAGCATTGGCGCTACTTTCTGTCCCCAAAGTTAAAATTTGCTCAATTCACACATCAGGAAGCATAAACAGGGAAGTTTCAGCTCCTTTTATAATTTAAATGGATAAAATCCCTTAAAGGTACTTACTTTTTGAACATATCTGAGAAACTTCCCCTTTCCATTTTCTCCACAGAACTACTATTAAGAGACAGAGACAGGGAAATCTGTCCAGTTTTCTGCAATTTAAGTTTTATTCACTTGCTAAGAAGCATTATAAACTTCACACACCATATCTAGGCAGTCACAAAATGCCCGGATCATATACATGATAACTACTAAAGTGAAGAAGCTTTGGGGCAGTAGCAAAGTTATAAAACAAATTAGTCTTTTATACCTTACTATAGCAAGAGTATAGGGAGTCTGTAACTCCCTCTCTCCCTCTCATATAACAATATATACATATAAACATATAGCTGTATCTATAGACATCTCTATATATGGTGACATGTAGATAAAACTCCCCTTTTCAGCAAGAAAAGCATATAGATAGAGACACAGATACATAAAAAAAATATGTATCTGTATAGAACTCTATTACAGGGGGAGAGAGAGAGAGAGGAGGAAAAGGAGGAGGAGGAGAATGTTGTGGTCTGGGGAAGGGCTGTAGAAACCTATTTTTATCTTGTCACAGATCAGTAAGTGTCCCATAGCACCACCAAGGGAATATTATGAATATTTCTAGGTGAAAATTGGAATTTTTCCTTTCAATTTTTTGAAAAGCCATTTTAAGGGTACATCACATGTTCAGTATACTTGAGGGCTCCAAGGATGGAGGAAACAAGTACTCACTACTTGCAATAGGGAGCAGTAGAAACCCTGGAGTCACAGCATACCTTCCAAAGGTCTCCTAATAGAAAGCTATCTAGAATCCTCGTTTTGAACTACAAGTTATGTCTGGGCAAGGGCCACATACTAGCAGCAAGGCAGACATGTCTAGGCAAGTCACTCATGAGGTAATATGCATGTATGTTTAGAACCCTCTTGATTAATTAAAAATCTAATTACATGACTAGTTGAACTCTAAGTGATATTCTTCCAAGACTACTAAATATTTTGAGAAACACAGAAACGGAAACACTGTGCAATGATGTTAATGTAAGCATCAAGTTTTAGGAACACTGGCAACAGACAGAGCATCAGAGGAGGAGAGAGAAACCAGAAAGAGAAGAGAGAGACGACTATGTTCACCCGGAGTCACAGCTTTTGGTTCATGCAACATGTAAACAGGATACAACGCAAAGCATCTGCAAGTGGAAAGTACATTTAACAACCATACTACACTTTCCCTACTCCGTCCATTTCTAAGGAAATAATATTCCTCTCGTTCATTCATTACCAAAGTAATGGTACAGTAAAATAAAATGATGAACGGTAAATGGCAAACAAGATAATCTATTCCTATGATCATAAAATGAAGCTCTAATTCCTATGCATTTGAAACAGATGTGTCTTCTACATGCCCTGCCATATTTTTCTTTCTGTTCTACATATCGTTAGACGTAAAGCAAGGAGCTGAGAGGGAGGAAAGTGAGAGTCAAGAGCCAAACACCTACAGCTGAGTGTTCTCAATATGAAAGCAAGCTAACCAAGGTCTGGTTGACACGTTTAACAACACATTACACGTTGATCTATAAAAACTGGATTATCCTCCCTAAATTATTCTCATGAAGCCAACTTAATGATCAGTAACTGCCACATATGGTAAGATCAGAAGGGGACAATAAAGGCTAGCATTTAACAACCTCTCTATACCAGGGCTCCAGTTTTTACACATTTTCTAAGACTTGGTTCTTTGTGTTCCTTGGTTTAAGCTGTTTTACAAAATGAAACCCAATTTATTTCTTTTAAATCCACCAGAGGGCTGGAAATATAATTCTCATAGACATTGCCTGATACTAGCATCCCCCCAATCAAATGTTATATAATTTGCTCATTTAGCAGAATTCATAATGTGAACAGAAACAACTAAAACTACTATCAGAAGAGCTACTAGTCCCACAGAACAGACTACGCTGAGTGCAGGATTAATTTTACACTCTACATCAGTAACTCTGAACTTCATTAAACAATTTGCCCAATTTCTATGAAACACAGTGAATGCAATTTTAAATACTGAAATTACTACATTCTGAGGGACATCAGTGAGCTCTCCAGTTCCAATTACTGTTCAAAAGAGCCTTTGATAAATCCTTGGGCTAAATAAAAATCAAATTTGCTTTCATTAGATTCTTAGTTTTTTCTGAAACCAAGTTAAGAAGAGAAAAATCACTGCAGTTTACAGTGGTAACACTGCAACAACTGATATGTATGAAGCTAGGAAGGACAAGCAGCTTTGCAAAGAGTATTTACTCGTCCATCTGCTTCAGAAATCATGGTTTGTTGGGTTCAAAGAGTTTGAACTGTGGGTTCAAAATTATTAAATATAAGTTCATACTAACACTAATAGTAAAGTTATTAATAAACAAGACTTTGGTGCTCAATTGGCCTAAATGCATGAAATTGCAATGCCTAAAACAGTTACTACTATTTAAGTGACTTGGAGACAAGAGCTCTGCCTCCCATCACACTGACAAATCTTATGACCTTACTGTGCACGTATTAATATCGCTACATAACTTTGCTTTAAAATGTTTTACAGCCACTTATTTCTGTACAGAAAAGCCACACTCGTCAGGTGCCCATGGCTCTCCTTTGTCCTGTATGGAATTTTAAGTCATTCAGCCAAGCCGCCGGTCAGACGCAGCTTTACTGCTCGGTGGTGGAACTCGGCTAGGTCTCCTGACAGCGCGGTGCCGCCCTGCACACAGGTTCCCGCAGACCAGGTTCCCACAGACCGCCAACTTCAACAATAGAGCGGATCCGGCTCCGGAGCCAGCAGCCCGAGCCTGGGCCCTGTCCTTGGTGCTGAAACGGGTCTGCGGGGCTCTCGAGGCGGGGGGGGGGGGGGGCGCGGGGCAGGAGGACGAGGCAGGAGGACGGGGCAGGGGGACGAGGACGAGGCCGGGGAGGACGGTTCAGGGGAGGACGGAGCCAAGGGAGGACGATGCCGGGGAGGATGAGGCTGGGGCAGGAGGCCGGGGCAGAAGGACCGGGCTGGGGCAGGAGGACAGGGCAGGAGAACGAGGACGGGGCCCGGGAGGACGGGGCAGAAGGACGGAGCAGGAGGACGGAGCCGGGGAGGACGAAGGCAGAAGGACGGGGCCAAGGGAGGACGAGACCAAGGGAGGACGGGGCCGGGGAGGATGAGGCTGGGGCAGGAGGCCGCGGCAGAAGGACTGGGCCGGGGCAAGAGGACAGGGCGGGAGGACGAGGATAGGGCCGGGGAGGACTGGGCAGGAGTATGGGGCAGAAGGACGGGGCGGGGAGGACGGAGCCGGGGAGGACGGGGCAGAAGGAGGGGCCGGGGCAGGACGGGGCCGTGGAGGACGGGGCTGTAGAGGACGGAGCCAGGGAGGACGGGGCCATGGAGGACGAGGCTGGGGAGGACGAGGCAGAAGGACGAGGCCGGAGAGGACGGGGCCGTGGAGGACGGGGCCGTGGAGGACGGGGCCATGGAGGACGGGGCCGGGGAGGACGGGGCCGGGGAGGACGGGGCCGGGGCAGGAGGATTGGGCAGGGACCCGGGCAGAGACGCCTAACCGCTGGGGCGGCCACTACCGGCCGGGAGACCCAGGACCCGCCTGGCAGGGCAGGCAGCGTGGAGACCAGGGGCGCCCTCCGCGGACCCGAGATGAGCCTCCTGTAGACCCAGCGGCTCCCCGTCCGCCTACCCGCCACCGCCATCCGCGGACCCCGCGGCGCCCTCCCCGCCGCCCTTTTGTCCGCTCACCGTCGCGGTCGCACAGCTGGATGGCCTCCAGGCTGAGGTTCTTGATCACCTCCTCGCACGGGCTGCTGGGGCTGCTGAGCGCGCGGTCCAGACGCGGCGCCTCCATCTTCCCACCCCGTCCAAGCCAGGCGGCCGCCGGCGGGCGAAGGGCGGGAGAAGCGGCGAGGGCGGGCGGGAGAAGCGGTGAGGTGCGGTGCGCTGAGGGCGAGGGCCGGGGCCGCCGAGGACCCGCCGAGGAGCCGATGCCGCGCCAAGGAGTCGCGGCGCTGAAGAGCCGCTGGCGGCAGGAGCTCCGCTGAGTGCGCCGCTCCGACACCGAACACCACCCGGCGCGAGGAGAGCGCGGGAGGAGCGCGTTCTCGGTAGGAGGGAGGGAGAGACGCGCACGCGCACGGGGACGCGCCCACCTGCTGGCGTGCAGGCCCCGCCCCCGCCTGTAGACCGCGCGCCCGCGGCCTCCCCCTCACACACTCCGCCCCCACCTGCCTGCGCGTAGGCCCCGCCCCCTGCCCGGCGCGCGCACGCGTCTCCACCTGCCTGCGCGTAGGCCCCGCCCCCCGCCTGCCGCGCGCACGCGCCTCCGCTGCCCTGGCGCCGCTGCCCTGGCGTCGCAGCCCGCGCACCTCCGGGTGAGGTGAGTGAAGAAGCGGCGAGGGGTGTGGGGACCGCGGCGCCGGCCTGCTGGTGGCTTGGCCTTTCTGTTCACACTGCCGGACAGAGCCGGAAGTGCCGCGGAGCGCCGGCACGGGCAGGCGGGGGCGCGCAGGTTGGTGGTGGAGCCCGTGTGGGGGAACAGGCCGGGCACGGGGTCTGCTGCTCGCGCCCGGCTGTCCGCGCGGACTCGGCCTGGGCGGCCCCGTGCTGGTGCAGGCTCAAGCCTCGCTCCCCCGTATCGGGTATGGTTACTGGTCATTATTCAAGTTCCTGTATTGAGTTTCCCGTTCCAGGCATAGATGTAACCAATAAAGAGAGAGATGATGTGTAATCTGACCTGCTGTCCTGTCGGGTCCCGGCCAAGTTAGCCCCGAACAGCCAAACCCCGCTAACTCCTAAACCCCAAGGGCCCACTCTGGGTAGAACAAGCCGGGAGGAAACGGCACAGCTGGGAGCCGAGAAAAAGCTGGGAAAGAGAATTGGGTGGCGTTAAAGGAAATGTCCGCCTTTGAACTTAGGCGTTAAGAAAGATGGATCTCATGGCGTCTAACAACCGTCTGTAACTCCAGTTCCAGGGGATCTGATGCCTTCTTCTGACTCCACAGGCATTGCATGACGCTGGTTCACTTACAGACATGCCGGCGATGCACTCATACACATAAAAAAGTGTCTTTTTTTTTTTTTTTAAAGAAAGATGGATCTTTGTTTTGGCGTTTGAGAAAACCCCCATGTTAAGGTAGCAGTATCCCCTAAGGACAGGGAACCGCGACGTTGTCAGGAGCCATGTTCAGAAGCCTCGATCTGTGGACCTGGCTACTGTCAGCACAAGCACAGTGGGTTCATCTTTCAGAGTTCACAAATTTACAGATCACAAGAGGAATTGTGTAAACTATGATAACCATTTACTAAGACTGAGAAATATACATATAACTAAAACTATACTTCTTACAAATATTATCTCATATTCAGGACAATGTACTAGTTCTGGAAATTTGAACTTCAATTCTACCAGGAGTATTAAAGATGAAGACAAAAATAGCCAGGTGTAGTGCCACACACCTTTAGTCCCAGCACTCCAGAGGCAGAGGTAGGTGGATCCCTGTTTGCTCCAGGCCAGCCAGGTCTACATAGCAAGCTCCAGGCCAGTTGGGGCTACAGGGAGACCCTGTCTCTAAAAGACAACAACAACAAAAAGAAGGTAAGAGTATGATGGATGTTAAGAAGAAAAGCATGTAGGGTTATAGCAGTCTGGGTCCTCAAGGGTATCTCTAGAATGATTGTCTTGAGGGAATGAGAAGTTATGGAAAGGCTTTAAGTAGGAGATTAACAATCATTTGTAGGATAGGATGTCTGTATAATCAGGAAAGGGATGCATGCCATTTAAAGAAATTCTATTGTGACTTTCTGAGTATAAAATCTACTTAATCCACTGTACTTTGTTCTGAAGATTTGAATTACCAAAGAAGTACAAAAGAAAGATTTAATATTTGGCTTTTGATGATCAATATAGGATTTTAAACAAGTTTTTAGGCATCAAATTAAGCACTGTTGAGATGTATTTGTTTATGGCTAAACACCAAGGCTAGAACAGATGATAGTTTCTCTCATAGTAAAGACATGATGATATCTCAGTTTATGCCAGAGATTGATGAATGGCATGTGATGGTTATGCATTAAAGGAGAAGAAAGTTATATTCTCTTTGGCCCTGGAGATTATGGAGTAGAAGAGGAAGGAAGCCAAGACATCCTCCCACCACGGGGTGTGTCACCAGGGTTTGTTGCTGTGGGGAAACTCATGGACAATGAAACCCTCTCTCAGTTCTCAGAGCCTGGAGAATATATCTCCTAGTTAACCTGATCAGGGACTACATTCAGGCAACCTTGAATAGGGCATCATAGGCAGAGGGTGTATTAGTTACTTTTCCATTGCTGTGACCAAATATCTAACATAGATGGCTTGAAAGAGAAAAGGCTTACTTGGCTCAGTTTCAGCATGCTCAGTGCATTATGGTGGGAAAGCATGGTAGAGTGGCTCTGTTCACACTGTGGCAGATGAAGAAGCAGAGTGTCAGGAAGCAGCCAAATGGAATGTATCCCCAAGGACCTGTCCCCTTCAGCCAGGCTTCTCAAGTTCTCCCCAACTCCCCAAATAGCACCACTAGCTAGAGACCCTGAACCTGTGGGAAATACTTCAGATTCAGACTATAACAGGGAAGGCAGGTTATACGTCCCATAGCTGTGAAAATTCTTCTGTGCTCAGAAAGCAGGTGAGTTGAGATCTGATAGAAATGTCATGAACCATCACATTAAAAGAGCAAGGTGTCTTTAGTAAAAATTGTGGAGTGGACTTTCTACGCCAGGCATATCTAAACTACCAAAGATACAACTCAGCAGTCAGAAAGAGCCACCAGACTGAACAGTCTGCATTTTTGTAGCTGCCACTTAATGTGGATCACCAGAAACACCTAGGCGTATAAATGAGTGTCCTAGACATAGGAGGAAGCAGGTTTGATGGAATGAATCTTCCTTTCTCTGATGGTCCCAGATACCTTCTAAAATAGGATGTGGGGTGGGAATCTCAGGACTGATTATCTTTAACCTAGCAAAGCTGAGCTTTTCCAAAGGCATGGATTAAAACACAGTCATCCCAGGTTCCTGGTGAGACTATGAGGACATTTCTTCCAGATCAACTTGTAGATAAAATGAAAGCTTTACTGTTTCTTTTCATACTTAAATTGCAGTCCAAAAGCAATCCTCATACACTTTAATCAGTTACTTGCTTGAACTATTGACTATTAGTCAAAACTCCTACCTTTCCAGCCCTGACTCACATCCATTCTCTGTAAAAACTGTTCCCTCTGCCAATACCCTTTTGGTCCACCGCACAGGTTTTTCTTATACTTCTCTTATGGCTATAACCACATTATGATTTATAAGTTAATGTCCATGAAGAATTGAATTTGAGAAAGACCTCAGACATACACTAAACTGTACCTTATCCAACACTGGAACACTTAACAAAAGCTATTTTCTCATAGTGGTAAATAAAAGTCCACATGAACTAATATAAAGTATTTTTTTTTATTTTGAGCCCAAATATGCATTCTACAAGGGCTTTAATTTTTTTCCTCTTTTGGTATTACACGATACTTCTTTTTGTTAATATATATAGTCAAACCTGTAGCTAAATGTTCCTACTTCTTTGAAACATTTTTACACTTGAGTTTAGCTGAAAGACTGAGAAACGATTCTTTCAGAAGCTTCTGGTATCACATTGTTTTGAGCCCTATTACTATGGGAACTCTCTTTTGGATAGCTGCAGTTTTGATGACTCCATAGACAAACACACTAGGTTTGGAATTACAATAAGAATATAAAGGAAAACACTATAAACTGTCCTGACCTATCTTTGCTCTATGCTGGACATCTTATGCAACTTGGGACACACTGACTTTTCTGTCAGTGATAATGCTTTGCTTGTACAACTTCACCTTGTAAGTGCAGACAAACCTATACCCATTCCATAATATTTTAATTTCCCCTGTGGTGTACTTTTAAATGTGTATTATTATAGTTTCACAAATGCTATACTCTGTACAGTTTGCAGAATCATTAGATTGAATTGCAGTACTTTGAATGTGCTTAGTTATATTGCTCCAACCTGCTTAGGAATTTTATCAAAGCCAAAGAAAAGTAGACAACAGAATTCTTTGGATAGATTAGGTCTATGTTATATGCCTCAAGCATAACCTAGTTTTAATGCCTAGGTAAAAGACAAAAAGAGAACGAAACCATAGATAGAAATTAACTCCACAAATACATAATAAATGAAGGCAGTGGTTTTTAAACTCCTAACACTACTGTAACCTTTCCTAAGCCTTTATTGTGAACAGCTGGGCAAAAGAAAACTCAAGAGTGGGAGAAAGTGTAAAGCAACTGAAATATTCTAAATTATCTGTCTTGATTCAAGTAATATCTGGACTTGTGAAGACAAAATGAGAAAATGCATATAAAAGTATTATATGAACCATGAACACAAAGTTAAGATATACGTGACAGTAAGAATCCCATTAAAAAAGAAATCCGGGCGTGGTGGCGCATGCCTTTAATCCCAGCACTCGGGAGGCAGAGGCAGGCAGATCTCTGTAAGTTCAAGGCCAGCCTCGTCTACATAGTGAGTTCTGGGACAGCTGGGGCTACAGGGAGACCCTGTCTCAAAAAAAAAAAAAAAAAAAAAAAAAAGAAAAGAAAAGAAATCCTATTTTTAGAGTACAATATTTTGAAATATTTCAATAATTATTTTTAAACAGAACTTCTGTATTTAGAGTAAATATATAATTTAGTGTCATATGGCTTTCAAAACCAGATGATGGTCAACATATGCAAATCAATGTGATGCACTACATTAACATAATGAAAAATAACCATATGATCATCATATATACATATAAAAACAATGTACAGTCTAGATCTAAGATATTATTTGTCAGTCGTAGTTCAATAGAGCTAGAAAAAATAACGAAGAAGTGCTCTCACCGTCTTTCACTTCAGGGCGGAAAACGAAGACTGCAGCTTCACATCATCTGGTCTGGTCTTCAGGCCCTGGTAAATACAGGTTCTGTTAGCCTTGCTGTTTTGCTTCCTGTCTGTGCTCATGGTATCCGTGTGCCCCCAGTCTTTCCTCCTTTGCCCACCTCTAGCTTCTTCACTATTTCTTTGGTTCTCTTCTATGTCTTTGCACATCATCACGGTTCCTTGATTTTAAAAATTGCCCTACTTGAACAAGTTACTATCTAGTTTCTTAATAATTGTCCCAGTATATTCAGGGAACTCATCATAAATTGGGAAATACTATGAAACTATTTACTGCCTGCATTTACTGCTAATCCCTACACAATTTATCACCAGTCTATAGCACTCTGATTCTTACTCTTCAGAAGAAATTCAGTTTGGTGTGCCCTTCATATCACCAACTGTCAC